GCCCGGGACCCCCGTCCGCGCATTGCCGTGGCTCCCGAGACCGAGGCGGCCAGGGCAGGGGGTCTCCCCAGGGCCCGGGGCCCCCTCCTTGGGCCGGCATCTTGGAGCCAGCACGGCCCCCTTCTCTGCAGGTGGAGGTACGCACGGAGGTAGCGGGGAGGTCCGGGATGCCCCCCGCCACACATCCAAGCTCCTCCCCTCCGAGAGAATTCGAGGGGCGCCGCTGAGGCGCGACTTTGGGTGTCTGAGGCTGGCTGTGCGTCCCGGTGCCTGTCGCCCCCGCCTTTTGCCCCCCCTCAGCGTCGGTTCCCATCAGGTGCCGCTTCCACCTGGGGCAGGTGCCTGGCACGATGCCTCGGTAGGGGAGGATGCCGCCCATGCCCTTCCCCCGCACAACAGAGAACTAGTGGCCCCCGCCTCTGGACTGAGCTTTACGAGGGTCCCGACGCCACCCAGATTGGCACCTGTTGACGGAAGTGTCCCAATCACCTCATTAGGTCTGGGGACGGGGGATCCCCACGGCTGCCCTCCAGGATGGCCAGGTGGAACCTGATCCCAGGTCAGGAGCGTCTGGGTCAACAGGCTGGGAATTCTCTCATACCTGGAATCCTACCTGGGCCTGGGTGACACTGTGGGGCACTCTCTCCCACACACACACATACACAGGCACAGGTGACTGGCACCAACCTGCCCAGCTAGGTTCTCCCTGTGCCACCTTGTGGACATCACAGTCCTGGACTCACTTTTCTCTATCTGTGACAAGCTGGGCCAGGGTGACTTCTGACTTTCTTTGGTTCGGTGACCAAAACCTGAGAAATGTCCTGTACCCTCTTAGTGCTTCACTATCCCTCCGTCTTCCTGTGGTGCTGTGTAACCAGGTTCTCGTCCCCTTCTGCACCTGCCCTCCATCCCCTCTGTGTCTCCCCTGTGTCCCCCGGTCCCCCACCCCAGTCCTGCTGATGGCCTGCCAGCCTTGCCGAGGAGCTGGGCGTATCTGGTGTTGCAGATCACACAAGGTCAGACCTTGGGGCTGGGGAGGGCCAGGGTCTTTTGTCTCTCCCTCTGGCCCTGGGAGGGCTTTGTAGGAGTCCCCTGGAGCATGCATGTGCTTGGCGTGTACCAGACATGGGCCGGATAGAAGCTGTGATTCCTGGAACGAGGCTGGACCGGTGCTCTGGTTTTCCTTCCCACCTCTTGCCCGCTTTCTCCCCTATTCTTGTTATTCCTTTCTCTTGGCTGCTTGGGCCTGCCATTCTGTCCCTCTGTCTGTCCCAACGTGTGCCTGTCTGTTCTGTGTCCGGCAAACGGATGTCCTGTCCAGATTCCGGAAACGCCCAAAGCATTGAAATCTCCGGACATGGGGGTCTAGGTCCCTGGCTGCTCTTGGAAGAGGGGAATTCTGGGAGGTTGGCCCTCTGGACCTGGAGTCTCCTGCTCCACCGTGAAAGGTGTGAGAACAGGGACTCTCCAAGGCTGGGCTAGTCCCCTGACTCATGGGTTCACTCTGCTGGCCCTTGGGTGACCCCTGCCCTCCGGGTAGGAGTGAGTCACCCTGGGGAGGAGAACCCAGGAGGCCTGGCCTTCCTCTCTCCCTGCTCTGCATATTCTTAGGCCTTAGCTGCTTGAGGTGTGGCCTAGGGCTCCTACTCCTCCTCTGCCTGGACCCCCATTCGAGCTGGCCCTGCTCCTGGCTGTACCCATGCTCTGCCTGTTGGGGATGTGGTGGGGCTGAGTAGTGGGTGGGGTCTGGTTGGGAGCTAGTAGTGTTAGATGACCCTGGGTTTAAATTCCAGCGCTGTCACTTCCTCACTGTGTGTTCTTGGCTGGGTGCCTTTTCCTCTCTGAGCCTTGGTTCTGCCATCAGAAGAATGGGACTAAGAGGGTGTTTGTGGTTGGGAGAGACGTAAACTGGGCCAGCGCTTTGCAGGCAGAGCTGCTATGAAACCTTATTGGTGGTCATGGTCAGCAACCCAGGCTGTGAGTTTGTGTCCTTTAACTCAGGGTTTTTCAGCCTCAGCACTATTGACATTTGTGGCTGAATCATTCTTTGAGATGGGGACTATCCTGTGCACTGTAGGTTGTTGAGCAGCATCTTTGGTGTCAGCCTACTAGATGCCAGTAGCACTCCCTCCCCACTCCCAGTTGTGATAACCAAAAATGTTTCTGGATGTTGCCAGATGCCCCCAGAAGTGTGGGGAGGGGGCGAAATCCCCCACCTTTGAGAACTGCTTCTGTCACGTCTGAGTCTCAGTTCTCACCTAAGGAATAATAGTGGCAGCTGCTCAGGATTGAAGTGAGAGGTTGGTATGATTGTGGAAGCGAGGCTCTTGGCTTGAAGTAAACCTTCCCTAGGGGCAGCCGCCCTCAAGGTTGGCTGGGAGCCAAGGAAGACTTTCTTCATCTGTGAAATGGGTTCTCGCGGTGTGGGGAGAGCACCTGATAACCTATCCTGCACTAGGATTCTGGGTGCTCCTGTTTTAAATCCTAGTCCTGCCTCTTGCTGGCTGAGGGACCTTGGGGCAAGTTATATCACCGTCTGGGCCTCAAGTTTCACCATCTTGAATATGGGTGATAATAGCACTCACCTCGTGGACTTCATTAGTTGATCTGGGTACAGCTTGTAGTAACTGCTGTTATTATCACTAATCATACTTGAACTTTAGAAGACTGGTGGTTTGGAGGTACCTTCACTCCACCCCTCCAATGCTGTCTTCTCATGACGTGGGTCTCAGGGAGGTGCCCTTGGCCTGGCCAGGCCCATTTGGCCTCTAAGCTGTGGTCAACAGCAGTGGGTACCCAGAGAGGAAGCCGGAAGTTGGGACGGCCTGCATCTGCAGGCAGAGGGCTGGCGCATGTAAACACTCCTGTGCATTTGCATACTGGTGTACACCCATGTTCTGTGCACAGACCTGTAGGTATGAGAGAGCATGCATCCCCGAGTCAGCCCAAGGAGCTTGGGGGAGCCTGCCTTTAAGTCCATTCAGACTGAGGCTGAGGGGAAAAGTCCCCAAGATGCCCCAGAGCCCTGGAGCTGGCCTGGCGCGGGGCTTGCTGGGAGCTAGCAGGAAAGAGGAAGTGGCGGGTGAGAGGCCCTGGCAGGGCTGAGGTTCAGGAAGAGGGCGGGGTCCTCAGCCGAGACCCAGGATGGCGGAGGCCGATACCCCTTTGGACCAGGAGTTGGAGGTGGGGTCCCTGGGGGGTGGAGGGCAGAAGAGGACCTCAAGTGACACAGGCCAGAGGCCCTGCCTTTCATAACCCTCCGTTTTGGGTAGAGGGGAAAAGATAGGTTGGAGTTTTCTGTTTGGAAGATGAAACTATTTGAGGCCCTATGGGGTTCCTCTGTCAGGCAGATAGAGGAGGAAGGAGGTGGGGCTCTGCTCCTTAGGGTCCCGGTTGTAGAAGATGAGAAGAGAGAAGATGGGGCCTATCCCTGGGATCTCCTAGATTGAGGATACACCAGGAGAAAGATGGGGCCTGCCTCTGGGGACTCCTAGATCATGGGTATAGCAGGGGAAAGATGACACCTGCCTTCTGCACCTACCAGTTTGAGGCACAGCAAAGAGGAGAAGGAGCCTGCTCTCAGGACTCCAACCCCATAGTTTTTTGGGGTAGCAGAGGCCTGTTCTTGATACTTGTTTGGGGAACAGCAGAGGGAAGATGGGCCCTGCAAGTCTAGGGGGATAGCTGAAAGGAGAAGAGGGTTTGTTTTCAGAACCTTGTCATTTGGGGGAACAATGGAAGAGAGACTAGGCCTATCCTTGGGATCCCCTAGTTTGGGAGGACAGTGGAAGGGAGATAGGGCCTATCCTAGAGGATGCTCTTAGTTTGGGAGTGGCACAATGGTGGGGCAGTGGGGCCTGTCCTCCAAAATCCCACTATGTAAGAAACAGATGAAAGGCGACAACTGTACCTATAAGGTCCCTGAGTCAGAGGGAACAGGGAGAGGGCCTTGTCTTACCTCCCAGTTTGTGGGGTCAGAAGACATAGAGCAGGCCCTGTCTTGGGAGCCCCAGGCTGGGAGGAGACCAGGCCTGGATGGCCAAGTGTAGTCTGCACCCCATGTCTTCCTGGCCCAACTGACCCCGCTCTGTCCCCTGCAGAGTGAGCCCCGCAGCTGGTCCCTGCTGGAGCAGCTGGGCCTGGCGGGTGCGGACCTGGCAGCTCCTGGGGTGCAGCAGCAGCTGGAGCTGGAGCGGGAGCGGCTTCGGCGAGAGATCCGCAAGGAGCTGAAACTGAAGGAGGGGGCCGAGAATCTGCGTCGGGCCACCACCGACCTGGGCCGCAGCCTCGGGCCTGTGGAGCTGCTGCTGCGCGGCTCCTCTCGCCGGCTGGATTTGCTCCACCAGCAGCTACAGGAACTGCATGCCCACGTGGTGCTGCCCGACCCTGTGGCCGCCACCCATGGTGAGCAGGGCCTTCCCTGGGGGAGGCGAGACTAAAGGGGTGCCACTGCCAGGGGCTCACCCCGTCTCCACTGATCCCCAGGGAGACACGCCTGGTCACAACAGCCTCCAGCCTCACAATACAACCAGAGCAAACATCAAAACCAACACCCAGAGAAAGGTGCATGGTCACACCAACACCCAGACAACATCCAGAGACTTACAGTGTCACACAAATACCCAAAGACATGCATAGTCACACCAACATTTGGGCAACACCAAAAGACCTATACAGTGTCACACCAGTACCCAAAGATATGCTTTGTCACACCAATACTCAGACAACACCAGTGGACCTACACAGTGTCACACCAATATCTAGACTCACGTAGTCACACCAATACTCAACTAACACCCGAGGTTCTAGACACTATCATGTAAATACCCAGAGACTCTCAGAGTCACCACAACACTCAGAGACTTCCGTACTACCACCTAACACCCAGAGAAACACACACACAGTCACACCAATACACAGACAATACCCAGAGACTCTCACACATGGTCACACCAACCCCCACAGATTCACACACACATAGCTGCCCAGCTCTTTTAGACATACACTGTCCCATTAACAGCCAGAGACATATGCACAATGGGACAAAGCCTGAAGACTCAACACTGCTTACACCAACACCCACCCCTTCTATACACAGTCATATCAACAGCTAGAGACCCACGCTGTCATGTTAACATTCTTGAGACAGTGGGGAGAGTTCAGCTAACAGCTAGGATCTCATATGATCACATCTATACCTAGAATCACCCCGACAGTCACACCACTCTCCAGAGAGTTGCATAGAGCCAGGCCACCATCCAGAGACATGAACATCTGGCTGTAGCCACACCTGGACACTCAGACACAGTTGTACCAGCGCCCAAAAGCTGAACAAAGTTGTGTCATCAGTGCATTGGAAACTCATGCATAGGGTTGCTTCAGCACCCAGAATCTCACATAGTCCTTCTAACACCTAGCATCTCACATAGTTACATGAGCACCTAGGGAGACACACCCTCACTTTGCCATGCCACCACCCTGTGGGTTACAGACATAACCACACCCATGGAATCCACACAGCTGTGTAAGGAGTTAGGGGCCTCTGTCCATAGTCCCACCAACACCAAGGACTCATGCACACCTGGACACTTACTCATGCCCATTCATCTAGTCCCACTTCAGCCCTGAGGGGGTGCCCTGAAAGGGGTTCCCTGCGAGGGGCAGGGTAGTTGGACCCTCGGCGCCCTGGCCTGGGGGCGGAATCTAGGCTGGGCAGAGAGCAAATCTCTCTGCTGGGCCAAACCTCCCTGGCAGATGGAGGTGAGGCCCTGCTGACTTTGTCCCACCCACCCTCTCCAGATGCCCCCAAGTCCCCCAGTGAGGGCGGCTCGGCCTGCTCAGCCACCAACCTGAGCCGCGTGGCTGGCTTGGAGAAGCAGCTGGCTATCGAGCTGAAGGTGAAGCAGGGGGCAGAAAACATGATCCAGACGTACAGCAATGGCAGCACCAAGGTGGGGGCACACGCAGGCACCCCCATGAGCAGGTCATGGGCAGGGGTTGTGGGGGGATGGGCTGATGGATGGCTGGGAGTCAGGACTGGGGTATGGGCAGCTCCTGGGGGCGTATGGGAAATGGGGTGAATGTGGATAATGTGAGACAGACACACAACACGTAGCTGCCCCCTCCCAAGACCTGAGGGTGTCTATGGTCAGGGCAACTCATTGCTGGTGACATCTCTCTGACACAAGTCCACACAATCAGGTCAACACCTAGATCCATACTTGTCATCATCCTAACATCCAGAGATACACAAAGACAGCCCCCTGGTCATAATATCTGGATACCCACAGAGTCATATTAATACTTGAAACACACTTATAATGTGTAGAAACGCAGCGGCAACAACACTTAGAGACATGTGACATAGCCACCTCTAGACACATAAATACACACGTCATCATGTAACACCCAGGACATCCAGCACAAGCCAACATAACACCTAGACCCAACAGATACACCATTAAATTCACACCCAGAGACAAGTTGTCACACAGACACACCCACTCCCCAGTCATAGCAGTGCTGGGGACGTAGCCACAGGTCTGTACCAACACCCTGAGATGCTCACGTGGACAATTACAGTCAGGCCTGCTGCTAGAGACACTTGCTCACACACTGTCGGGAAAGTGCCCACACTCGTGTGCACATACAAACACGACTATTACATGTTAGGACACAGAGCACATAGATTATTTTTTGTACTCATATAACATGCAGGAAACTCAAGTGTACAGCCCCATGAATTTTTACCTGTGTACATATCACCCCCATCAAAATCCAAAACATTTCCAATCACCCAGAAAGTTCCCTCCTGCCCTTCAGTCAGTACCCAAGCTTCCAACACCACAAGTTAGCTTTGCCTTGTTTAGAAACGTAGCACAAGTAGATAGAAAAACTCACAACAATTACTAGCACTTGTGCACACATGGGATCCTGGGCTATGTGCCCAGTCATCACCATACCGTGTGAACTGCACACACAAACATCTGGAACATTGCTTACAGCAGACCATCAACACACCCACCCAGTCACCCTTGGAGACTCACCTTTGTAGCTACAGTCAGGGCTATACCTGCTCTGGGGACCGCCCACCAACAAGCACATTGTGCTGACAGCTGACGCGAGTACAGTGCCTGCTGGTTCCAGGCACAGCCCTGAGCTCTGCGTACAGATCGGCAACTTTGATCTTCCGTGGGGGTCGGCTCTCTTAGTACTGATCCTATTCCTGCATGTTGAGGAGACAGGCCCAGAGAGGTTGAGCGGCTTGTCCAGAGAGGTTGAGTGGCTTGTCCAAAGAAAGACACACAGCTGTGGCAGAGCCAAGACTCAAGCCCCACGGGCTACATCGCCCGTCTGCGTCCGTGAACACACAGACGCAAACACTGTCTGTCACATGTTTGCCCTGGTGTGGACATCAGGGCCAGTGGTCAGGCCCCAACTGGCCAGCCATTCCCTGATGGCCCATCTCTGCCTCCAGGACCGGAAGCTGCTACTGACGGCCCAGCAGATGCTACAGGACAGTAAGACCAAAATTGATATCATCCGCATGCAGCTACGCCGGGCGCTGCAGGCCTGCCAGCTGGAGAGCCAGGCAGCTCCAGATGAGGCCCAAGGTGAGCTGCTCGCCCTGCATTCTGCCTTGCAGAGCTCAGCCCTCAGCCCCATGAGGGGACCTTTTCTGGGGCAGGGAGGTGGGTACTGTAGCTTATTCCGTGACTGGAACGCATTCCCTCTCTGGGCCTCAGTTTCCCATTTTGTCCTACTTGAGGTTTGCACTAGATTAGGTATTAGCAGACTACAGCCCACAGACCAAATCTGCTGCTGGCTTTTTTTTTCTAAATGTTTTATTGGCACACAGCCATGCCTATTCATTTATTATCATCTAAGGCTGATTTTACACTGGGACAGCAAAGCTAAGTAGTGGCAACAGAGCCTGTGTGCTCTGCAAAGCCAAAAATATTTACTTCCTGGCACTAAATAGAAAAAAATTGCAGACACCTGGACTAAGTGGTTGCCTTGTCATGTTCGCTTCTGTTGTGTAGAACCATGGGTGTCCCCAGCCTGTGCGTCTCTGTGTATGAAGGGCTGGGGATGTCTCAACCTGATTGTCAACCTGAATTTGTGACAGGGTCTTGATATATTGTGTACAGGTGTGACTATGTCTGTGCTACTGATGTGTTTCAGTATTAATGTGACATTGACTGTAGGGACCAGCAGCTGTGTGTGTGCCCTAGTAACTATGGTAGTTCGTATGTCACCTTGACAGATAGAGGTGTGTCAGCTGTTGGTGGCTGTTAGGCTCTTTGGGCTGCTGTGATAGCACTAGGTGGCTTATAAACAATAGAAATTTATTGCTCACAGTTTTGGAGGCTGGAAGTCTAAGATCAAGGCATTGGCAGTTCCGGTGTCTAGTGAGGCCCACTTCCTAGTTCATAGACCACATCTTCTCACTGTGTCCTCACGTGGCGAAAGGGGTGAGGGAGCTCTCTGGGATCTCTTTCATTAGGCCACTAATCCCATTCAAGAGGGCTCCACCTTCATAATCTAATCACCTCCCAAATATCCCACCTCCAGATACCCTCACACCGGGGGTTGGGTTTCAACATATGAATATTGAGGGGATGTAAACATTCAGACCATAGCAGTGAGGCTTGTAACTTGAATGACATGTGTGTCTTTGTGGGGAGGGCTGTCAGTATTACTGTTGACATGATTGTATTGTGAATACTCTTGTGGATTTCTCAGTTATGGTGTGTGATGGTATGATTACATCCATGTGCCTTTGAGTGATATCGCGACCTTGGCGACAACATGACTTTGTCCCTGTAATGTAACAGTCTCAGCGATTGTCTGAGTGCCATGTGACAGCAGGCCTAGAAGCAGGAGTGTGACCATGTTTGTAAGATGACTTGCCTGTGAATATCAGGGTTCTTGTGACACTGTCTGTGTTGTTGGTGTCCGGGAGAGTGCCACACACCTGTGGATGACAGCATGACTTTGTGACTGAGTGCCAAGCTCTGAGTCTGGGTCATTATACGGGACAGCGAGACTGTCCTTGGAATCTATAGCCATGAATAAGTGTGACCATGACTTTGTGCCTCTGGGTGACAAGTTTCCTATACTTACCTGTGTGACAGTATGTCCTTGTGCCTTTCCTGTGCCATTGGGTAACTGGCTGTGTTCTTGTGACTTCACACTGGGCATGACAACCAGCCTATTTCCCTTTGACATTGGGTCCCCATGCCTGTGGGTATTAGTGACATTGCCCTGCCTGTGTGACGGTGCAGTGATATTCCTTTGCCTGTCTCTATGCCTTATCCATGTGTCAGTGTGATTAAGTTCCTATGATTCTCCTTGGGCTGGAGTTAGAGTCCTGAGAGTTCCGCTCCAGGGAGACTGTTTCCCACAGGGTGTTTATGTCTTGTGATCATGTCCCTCTGCCTCTGTGACAATGTCCCTTTGCTGGGGAAATTGGGTTGTTTCTAGTCTTTTCCTCTTAGAAAGAAGGTTGTCGTGAATAACCGTATACATATGTCAAGTGCAGAGGTGTTTCTGTGAGATACAGCCACTGAATTGGGATTGCTTGATCAAAGGGTAAATACATTTGTAATTTTAATAGATATGGCCAAACTGCCTCCATTGGAAGGCAACTTGTATTCCCATTAGCAATGAATAAAAGTTACTTTTTAAAAAAAGTGTCCTTGTGTTTGTGTGACTATATCCTTGTGGCTGTCCAGTTGTCCTTGGTGTCCCTGTGATAGTCCCTGGGGTGAAGTGGAACCCTGACAACTTGTTCGTCCCTAAGGCTGTGTTGACAGTGTGCCTGTGTGTATGACTGCTCCAGTGTGACAGCCTTTGTCCCTGGGGTCATTGCTATGGGTGCGAGTATTTGAATAAAAGAGGGCGGAAGTGTGGCGGTCTGCCTGCTGGTGACAGTGCGACTGTGTCACTGTAACTGCCCCTTGGGAGAAGCCTGATACATGTTGGTGGTGATACGTCTGTGGCCAGTGCCTGTTCTTGTGGATGCTGTGTATCTGGACTGGGTTGGTTAGACCTGGGTCCCAGGCTGGCCTCACTACCCGGTGTCCTGCACCCACAGGGAGTCCGGACCTGGGGGCGGTGGAGCTGCGCATTGAAGAGCTGCGGCATCACTTCCGAGTTGAGCACGCGGTGGCGGAGGGTGCCAAGAACGTGCTGCGTCTGCTTAGTGCCGCCAAGGCCCCTGACCGCAAGGCAGTCAGCGAGGTGAGGGTTGGAGCCTCAGTGAAGGGGTGGCTTTGACCTTGGGCAGCCAAGGTGTGGAGTCGGGCCTCAGCATGGTCAGTGCCTCGGTGTGGCAGGGTCTAGTTTTCAGGGAGCTCTGGGGTAGGACCCCAGATGGTTTGGGTTTGGGGCCTCCGGTGAAAAGGAGCCCTTGGTAGGATTTAGTCCTGGAGGAGCCTGGGTCTGTGCTTGGAGGGGCCATCCCCACCCCCACCCCAGATCGGACCTGTCCCTCCCACCTCAGGCCCAAGAAAAACTAACTGAGTCCAACCAGAAGCTGGGGCTCCTTCGGGAGGCGCTGGAGCGGAGGCTTGGGGAGCTGCCCGCTGACCACCCCAAGGGGCGGCTGCTGCGAGAGGAACTCGCTGCGGCCTCGTCCGCAGCCTTCAGTGCCCACCTGGCCGGGCCCTTCCCCGCCACGCACTACAGCACCCTGTGCAAGCCCTCACCGCTCACAGGTGGGTCCCGACATCTCCCAGCCTTAAGAACCCACAGTCCCCAACCTGGTTCTCCACTCTCCCTAACCCAGACTGCCATCCACTGTTCCCTTCCTTCACCCCAGCCCTCTAGCCCGGGCCCCATTTCCCCAGGCCAGATAGCCCCTTACTCCCTGAACTTCTTGGCCCGTCTTGCCCTCTGATTCTGAACTCCTGCCCCCATCCCACCGTTCCCACTTTTCCACCCTCCTGACCTGGCCGTGTCTTTTTCCTGCACTCATAGTCCCCCAGACCCTCACTCTGAGAACCCTCAGCCCTGAACCTCTGACCCCAACCCCCCAGCCAGTCCCACTCTCCTTAGACCCCTCAGCTGCTACATCACCAGACGAGCCCTACCATAGACCTCAGCCTTTGCCTCAGACCCTAGGTCAGCCCTCTGAATTCTGCTCTGCTCCTCCTTGCTTGGACCTTCATCCTACACCTCTATTCTGTCCTTAAACCTCAGCATCCAGAGCCCCTCCCCAGCCTGGTCCACTCCAGCCTGGTCCCCTCCCCCTTGTCCCATATTTCTCACTTCTGCGTATAGCCATCCCTGCATCAGAAGCCCTGCCCCACCCTGGTTGTCCGTCACAGCTCCCACTTGTATGTGGGCTGCTGCTTTACATGTCCACTTCACCCCCAGCCCCCTCCCCTTGGCCTGCTCCAAATGTGGTCCCCCCTGAGTCAGACCCTTCCTTAGGGACTCTGGAGGTACGTGTGGTGGGCTGCAAGGACCTTCCAGAGACAATCCCCTGGAACCCCTCACCCTTGGCGGGGGGGCCTGGGACCCCCGACAGCCGTACTGCCTTCCTGAGCCGCCCAGCCCGTGGCCTTTATAGCCGAAGCGGAAGCCTCAGTGGCCGGAGCAGCCTCAAAGCAGAAGCTGAGAATGCGAGTGAGTGGGTATTGAGGGTCTGGAGGGATGAGGTGGGGTTGGGGGTCCTGGGATGCCCCACACTTGTAACACTCTAAAAAACTAGTACATCACACCCATTAGGAAGGATACTAATGAAACAAAACAACAGGTGTTAGGGAGGATGTGGAGAAATTGGAATCCTTGTGCGCTGAGAACATAAAATGGTGCAGCTGCTATGAAAAACAGCATGACAGGTCCTTAAAAAATTAAACATGGAATTACCATGTGACCCAGCAATCCCATTTCTGAATATATACCCAAAAGAGTTGAAAGAGATATTTGCACACCTATGTTCATAGCAGCATAACTCACAGTAGCCAACGGCGGAAGCAATCTAAGTGTCCGTTGATGGATGAATGGCTAAAAGCATGTGGTATAACCATAGAATGGAATCTTATTCAGCCTTAAAAACGAAGGCAATTCTAACACATGCCACAACATGGGTGAACTTGAGCACATTGTGCAAAGTGAAATAAGCCAGTCACAAAAATACTAATGCTGTATACTACGGCCATGCCACCCTGAACAAGCCCGATCCCGTTTGATCTCGGAAGCTAAGCAGGGTCGATCCTGATTCGTACTTGGATGGGAGACTACCTAGGAAGCCCAGGTGGTGTAGGCATTAAAAAAAAAAAAAAAGGGAAACAAAAATACTAATGCTATAAGCGATTCCACTTATATGAAGTATCTAGAGTAGTCCAGTTCATGAAGGTGAAAAGGATGGTGGTTCCCAGTGACTAGGGGAGGAAGATGGGAAGTTAATGTTTCATGGGGACAGAGTTTCAGTTTGGGCACATGGAAGGAGTTCTGGACATGGACGATGGCGGTGACACAACAGTCTGAATGGACTTATCATGTAGCTGTACACTTAAAAAATGATAATGGTGGTAAATTTTATGTTCTGGAAACTTTACCACACTTCAAAAAAAACTAATATATATGTACAAAAAAGATGTATTAAAGAAGAATAACAGCAGGATGAACACCCATGTTGCCACCACCCAGTTCAGGAAATAGAACTCCCTGGAAGCCCCCCAGGTCTCCTCCTCAGTTCCAGCCCCTTCCTCTGTCCTAGAAGTAGCTACTCTTCTGACTTCCATGGTTATCATTTTTTTACTTTTCTGTGTAGTTTTAGCACCCATGTATGTATCTCAAAACAGTGTAGTTTAATTTTGCCTCGTGTTTGAACTTCATACATGTGGAATCATACAGAATATACTCCATGGCAGTGGTTTCTTTGATTTAACATTGTGAGACGGATCCACGTAATTCTGTGAAACTATAGTTCATTCATTCATTTTTACTCCTGTTTAATAGTCTATTGTCTTAAAATGAGCCATATCAAATTGCTGCCTTTTGTTTTTCTTAGGTACAAAATAGTTGAATATCAGCAATTTCATGGTTCAGCTAGTAAGACTATATTACGGATTGCATATTCTGTTAGTGGACAGTGAGCCGTTTCTACTTTGGGGCCATTTTATAAAGCGTTATATTTATGAATCTCCCGATGTACACATGCATGCATTTTTCTAGGGTAAATACTTAGTAGTATGTTGCTGAAACTTGCTTACAGAATCAAAGTGAATTTGGATTCCTACCTTGTATTATACACAAAAATCAACCACAAGGCCTTAATGCGAAAGGCAGAACCATAAAGCTTTGTCAAGATAGCATAGCAGAATATTATGATAGAAAAGGAGAGGATTTCTTTAGTAAGATATAATAGATATTCCCCCAGCCCCAGCATTTCCTGACTTCCACCCCCACCCCCATTTACAGGTGAGGTTAGCACTGTGCTCAAGCTGGATAACACAGTGGTGGGGCAGACATCCTGGAAGCCATGTGGCCTCAACGCCTGGGACCAGAGCTTCACCTTGGAGCTGGAGAGGGTGAGCAAGGTTGGGGGATGATGGAGCACAGAGAAGGGGGATTCTGGGTCTTGGGCGCCACAAGTGATGGTCATCTTCCTCTCTCAAGGCGCGGGAACTGGAATTGGCTGTGTTCTGGCGGGACCAGCGGGGCCTGTGTGCCCTCAAATTCCTGAAGTTGGAGGATTTCTTGGACAACGAGAGGCATGAGGTCCAGCTGGACATGGAACCCCAGGGCTGCCTGGTGGCTGAGGTACAGCCCGACCTGACCCTGAGAAAATGCTTCATGCAACTCCTGCTCCCAGTTTTCTAGAAAGGGAAGATATCTTTTCTGTTGATCCCAGAACCTTGATAGAAAACTGCCCATAATTGGTCATATCAGTGACATGACTTAAGCTGAGACTGGTTTTGTTCTGTCGCAAGAATTAAAAATTAAAATCACAAAATTTTGTCAAGGCAGAAAAGAAAAACAAAACTTGGCAACATGCCATGGCACTGGTAACATGTGCTGCCGGAGGCACACTGAGTACAGAGAAATTCCTTCTGCAATGGCGTTAGGGTTCAAAGCAGAGTACCCCACTGTCAACATTATAGACATCGGGGACCAGAGCATTCTCGGTTGCAGGGCCATCCTGTGCGCTGTTGGGTATTGAGCAGCATCCCTGGGCTCCACCCCCAGGATGCCAGTAGCTCCACTGCCAGTCGTACAGCCAAAAATGTCTCCAGACTTTGCCAGTGCCCCCTGGTTGAGAGCTCCTAGTTTAGGTAACATTCCTAGCTGACCCCTTGGAGTATGAGCCAAGCCTTGTCCTATGTACTTTGCTGACATTAACTCGTTAATCCCCCAATGCACAGCTGACAGAAGAGGAAACCGAGATGCAGCGAAGGACGGTCACTAGCCCCTTCATTTAGCCTAAATTATCCTAAAAAAATTTTTAAATTTGCCTCTAACATATCCATATGCCCTGTTTTATGTAATGTATCACCCCGTATCCATATCCCCATGTGGAAATTCTTACATGATCTCATAATCCAGGACCATTGAAGGGAAGGAAGGAGAGAGAGAAGGGTCGACTTCAGTGGCAGTGCAGTGAAATTGTTCTGTTAGGAACTGTCCAAAACCAGGCCAGACATGGTGGTAGGTGGCTCTGAGGGCAAATTCTGAAGCTTTCAAGGTTTATTAGAGCATTTGATTTTGTTTTATGTCTCCTAAAAATGCCATCCAGTAGAACTTTCTGCAGTTCCGTTGTCGATGAGCTGACAATAATTGCGTTCTATTGTAGAAGGAGATGTTTTAGGTTGGCATTATCCAGTATAGTAGCCGCCAGCCAATTGAAGTGTGGCTAGTGTGATGGGGGAACTGAAGTGTTAATGTTACTTAAATTTTACTTCATTTAAATAGCCGCATGTGGCTGGTTTCAACCATATCGGATGCACATGAAGTGACACAATTCTGTGACTTTAGCACCTTCTAGATGTGTTGGAGTTGGGAGAATTTAGCTAGACCAGTGGTTGCCCCACCTGGGTGGGCACTAGCATTATCTGGAGGGCTTATTAAAACATAAACCAGGACTAGGAAGGAAAGAAGGGGACACTCACCAGACTTGGTGGACTGAAAGGAGGGCCCAGAGGGCTCTTCTGGGGGGTGCTGTCCAAGTCAGCCCCGAGATTCAGCTTCTCCATGGATATGTCCACCCCCCCACACCCCACCCTCGTTACCGATTCACTGAGTCCAGGTGCGGGGCCCGAGGATCTGCATTTCTCACTCGTTCCCAGGTAATGCTGATCCGCCGTTCTGGGATCACCGTCGGGAATCAGGATACGAGATGATGTAGGGCCTGTTTGCTAGCGTTGAATGTGCATATTGTATCAGACCCCCTCCCCACCCTCAGAAGATGACCTAAGTGCTTTCTTCTCATCTTCCTGAAATGGCATTTCAGGAGGGGGCCCTGCCAAGCGATGGATTGGTTTTATGACCCCTTATTACGTGCAGTGCCACAGTGATCAGAACCCCTGAAACATGTGTGCGCACACTTGTGCTCCTAAGGGCCTCCCTACTTGGCAGTGGGTAAGGGTGCTCACCCATCGGCTCCTCTCCCCAGGTCACCTTCCGCAACCCTGTCATTGAGAGGATACCCCGGCTCCGACGGCAGAAGAAAATCTTCTCCAAGCAGCAAGGTGAGCATGTGGGTTGGGGCAGGGGAGAGGCCAGGGGTCTTGGTGTCACCAGGGTGAACCAGGGTGACACTGCCGCTGTCCCCAGGGAAGGCATTCCAGCGTGCTAGGCAGATGAACATTGACGTTGCCACCTGGGTGCGGCTGATTCGAAGGCTCATCCCTAGTGCCATGGCCACAGGCACCTTCAGCCCCGGGGCTTCTGGACCCGAGGCCCGGTCCACAGGGTAAGGAGGGTAGACTCTGCGGGTCCCGGCTGTCTCAATTGCTTCCCAGGGTGCTAGGTCCCAAGCACACCCTCTTTTTTTGTGCTGCAGCGACATATCCGTGGAGAAGCTGAATCTCGGGGCTGACTTGGACAGCTCCCCCCAGAAGAGCCCTGTGGGCCCTCCTTTCAGTCCACCAAGTCTGGTGAGTGTCCCCTTCTTTCCTTCCCAGTCCTGGCTAGGCAGCATCAGGGGGCCTCCTTCCCAGCTCCAGGCCCAGAGACCACCCAGAGCTTCCCAGGGTCACACAGCATGCCTCTGGCAGAACCAAGTCCTATTCTTTATCCTGGATAAAAACATGAGCTGGAGAGTCAAACCTTCTAGTTCCCCATCTTGCTCTGCCGCCTCCTAGCTGTGTGACCCACGCCTAACCGCTTCACCTCTGTGCTCAGTGCTTGTAAGTTGCTCAGTGCCACAAGTCGATGATATAAATTAAGATAGTGGTTTTCTCTGGGCAGAGGAGGAGGGGTTGGTTATTGGTAGGAGGAGGACAGAGGGAGCCAGCAAGGTGATGGGACTGTTCCACATCCTAATCTAGGTCAAAGGTTAGCACTTTTTCTGTAAAGGGCAATATAATCAATATTTTTTACTTTGAAGGCTAGACAGTCCCAGTCATAACTACTGGACACCGCTGTTGTAGAAAGCAGCCACATGCAATGCTTATGTCCTTGAATGGGTGTGGCTGTTTCTGGGGAAACTTTACTGATAGACATTGAAGTTTCAATGTCATTTCATTTCCATAGATCAGGAAAAAAAAAATTTTTTTTTAATTCCTATCCCTTTAAAAACATAGAGACCATTCTTAGCTTGCAGACCATACAAAAAACAGCATTTACCTACCCCTGGTCTAGGCATTGGGGACCTGGGTGGACACATATGTGACAGCTGGTCCCTTCGCCCACCTCACTGAACGAATTTTGTATCTCATTTTTTTAAAAATGAAAATATATCCTTCCTGGCTTGAATTAAATAAGCTACCTCATTGTATGAGATGAAGTTGGCCAAAAAACAAAAAGAAAAGAAATCCAAAAGCTTGATAACACTGATGGCTGGGGAGGATGCAGTAAAACAGGCAGCTAGTGGGAAGTGCGCTAGTCGCTGCATGCCCTTGGGAGGGCCTAGCCGGCTGAGATAAAAACGGACACTACCTTGACCCAGAACTTCCACTTCTGGACATCTTCACACACATGCACAACCATGTTCACTGAGGCAGCTTTGTGGGGGCAAGAGTGGAAATAACCTCAGGGTCCATTTATAGGAACCAGTGCTAAATAAATGACAAGATGGACTAGTATGCAGCTATGAAAAATGAAACCAGTCTCATCTGCTGATGTAGAATGATTTCCAAGACAGATTGTCCAGTGGGAGAGGCAAGATTGGAATATTGTCATTAGTGGATACAAGAAAAACAGAGCCTGTACTGGCAGTTTTGCTCGTGCGGGTATAAAACATGTCTAGGAAGGTTCCCGAGAAAGCATTAAACAGTGGCTGGCTCTGGAGAGGGCAGCTGGGGCAGGAAATATTTCAGCCTGTTTGCATGGATTGAATTTTTAGAACTGCTTCTATAGTGAAGAATAATGGACCAGTAGGTAATTTTTTCCTATGAAATACTAATTTTGGTTCTTTTTAGTTACATATACATGTTGTATAAAAGTGATTCCAAAGGACTAATACCAATCAAGAGAATAAGTAGGTAAATGAGAAAATATGTATTCAGTATGAAATGTGCTGGAGAGAAAAAATAAAACAGAAGGAGGATGGGGAGTGTTGATATTGGGGGGGTTCTGTTATTTAATAGAGTGGTCAGCTGACCACCTGCAAAGGTGACATATGAGTAAAGGCCTGAAGGAGGTGAGGGAGTAGCTGTGCAGGTGTCAGGAAAAGATAGTTCTGAAAAAAAAAAAAAAGATCCAGGCTGCAGGAACAGTCCGTGCAAAGGTCCTGGGGTGGAAACATGCCTGCTGTGTTCAGGGTAGTGAGAGGAACTTGTGGCTGGAAGGGAGTGAACGAGGGGGTGAGTGGGAGAGGTGAGGTCAAAGAGGTGATGGGAGCCTTGGTGGCTATGATGGCTATGGGGTGCCTCTGACTTCCCTCACTCTGACCCGCTCTCTCCACTACAGAGTTCCCCAATCCAGGACACAGCCACCACACCTGTGCTGCCTTCAGAGCCCCAGGAAACCCCAGGGCCCTCTCTGTGCAGGTGACTCCCATCCCCTGCCCACCACCCGCCACCCCGAGCACTGTCCCCGTCCCCACCAGTGTCCTTTCTCCACAGCCCTCTCAGGAAGTCACCCCTGACCCTTGAGGATTTCAAATTCCTGGCGGTGCTGGGCCGGGGTCACTTTGGGAAGGTGAGGTGGGGGGAAAGGGGTTGGAGGGCTGGAAGTCTGCATCCCTGGGTCCCTGGGCTGGCTGCTAAGGCCACTCCTGCCTACTGGGGTTCCAGGTGCTGCTCTCCGAATTCCAGCCCAGCGGCGAGCTGTTCGCCATCAAGGCTCTGAAGAAAGGGGACATTGTGGCCCGAGACGAGGTGGAGAGGTGGGGATCCTGCTCAGGCCCTCTGAGAACCTGTCTCCTGGAAAATGGGAAACAGCAGTCCCTTCTCATATTCATTAAGCTAGTTTTTAAGATAATAGTAATAACTCTTAGTAAACACCGTTCTGCTGATGGTACAGAGATGGTGAGCAGCTTGCCTGAGTTCATGCAGCCAGTGAGTGGGAGGTCCTGGATTTAAACTTAGGAACTCGGGCTCTGAAACCTGTGATCTTAATGGCGCCATTGCACTGCCTCTGCTTTGGGGTCAGGGCCTTGGGTTCAAATCCCACCTCTGCCACAGACATACTTATACTTATAGAGAGCCTGGGGAGGCCCTTCCGAAACTCAGCCTCCCCGTCTATAAAAGGGAAGTAATAATGCCTTCCTTGCAGGTTTGTTGGGTGGCTTGGTAGAGACACTGAGATTGTCCCCAATCTTCCTGACATCCTTTTTTAAATCAGGAACCCAACTCAGACAGGCCTAAGCAAATAGAAGAATTTATTGCTCTGGATCAGAAAAGTCCAGAGGTGTCCTTCAGGCATGGCTGTATCCAGGTGCTCAGATGACATTTCCTCAGTTCTGCTTTCTTGTGTGTGGGCTTTGCTTCCAGTCTTGCCTCCCTGACCAGCAGTATAGTTCTTGTCCACCAGCTTTAACCCTTCTTTAATAATTCCAGCAGAAGTCCTGAGATTGAGCCCTGTTGGCTTGGCTTTCTCATTCCTGAACCATTTCCTGGCCAGGGAAATGGAGTGCTCCAGTCAACCCATCCCTGCCAGTTCTCTTTAGAGAAGTTGGGGGATCGTTAATGGGATGATGGATTCTAGGTGCCTGTTTAGCAGATGAGGCTGCTGAGGTTCAGAGGTATTAAGCAATTTGCCCAAGGTCGCACAGCCATGCGAGGCCCTCAACAAATATCTGATGATTGAGGACTTGGAATGTGGGAGTTGGCAGTAGGGATCTCCTGTGCTCCTGACCCCTGCCCCCCATCCTGCCTAGCCTGATGTGTGAGAAGCGGATCTTGGCGGCGGTGACTAGTGCGGGACACCCCTTCCTGGTGAACCTGTTTGGCTGTTTCCAGACGCCAGAGCACGTGTGCTTTGTGATGGAGTACTCGGCTGGTGGGGACCTGATGCTGCATATCCACAGTGACGTCTTCTCTGAGCCCCGTGCTGTGTGAGCCCAGGCACCCCCGACTCCCTGCACTGATTCCTCAGCCCCCTTTCTGCTCCTCCATGGCAGGCCCTTCTTCACCCCAGCTCCTGGAGTTTGGGCTTCGGGGAGGCAGTTGGGCTTTTGAGAATATGGCAGCCAGGTTTATATGGTCTTCCTTGTGGCGAGACCCGCCTGCCTCACACCAGCCTCTCTCTGCAGCTTCTATTCAGCCTGTGTGGTGCTGGGGTTGCAGTTTCTCCATGAACACAAGATTGTCTACAGGTGTGTGTGTGTGTGTGTGTATGTGTGTGTGTATGTATGCATGCGTGTGCATGCATGTGCTCATAAGTGGCACCTCTGCCCACTAGGGGGCCCTCAGGCTTCAGGCAGGCCCCATCCCCACTCATCCCTCTTTACATCCCCAACCCCTCACAGGGACCTGAAGTTGGACAATTTACTCCTGGACACCGAGGGCTATGTCAAGATCGCAGACTTTGGCCTCTGCAAGGAGGGTGAGGGGCAGGGCCAAGATCTAGGGCTGGCCTCTGGGGATTAGACAGAGAGGGGGAAGGAATGGAGTCCCTACCCAGGTTATCTCACCCTCCCACCCTTGACCCTGGGACAGGGCTGGCTGGACCACTCTGTGTTGGGCTGGGCTACAACTGGGGACACTCCCGTCAATAACCGCATGGCCCTGCTGCCCCAGGGATGGGCTATGGTGACCGGACCAGCACATTCTGCGGAACCCCGGAGTTCCTGGCCCCCGAGGTGCTGACAGACACATCGTACACGCGGGCGGTGGACTGGTGGGGACTGGGCGTGCTGCTCTATGAGATGCTGGTTGGCGAGGTGAGGCCCAAGGCTGCCCGCACTTTACCTGTCCCTGGGACGGCACTGGAACCTGTATGCCCAGGGGTGGGATCAGAATCTTCCTCCACCACATGTGTGATCAGGGGCAGGTTGTTTCGCATCCCTGGCCTCAGCTTCTGAATCTTTAAAATAACGTATTTACCCTCTGATGTGAAGGTATGGGTGGGGCTGGGTCTGATGTGGCCAGAGGAGTGGCCTGATTTGCCCCGTTCTCCCTGTCCCCAGTCCCCGTTCCCAGGGGATGATGAGGAAGAAGTGTTTGACAGCATCGTCAATGATGAGGTTCGCTACCCCCGCTTCCTGTCAGCTGAAGCCATTGGCATCATGCGCAGGGTGAGGACCGTCCAAGCTGAGGTGGGCTTCAGGAGGGACTCTGGGACCCAGAAAGGGAAACTGACACAGTGCTCCCCTTCCCCAGCTGCTGCGGAGGAATCCAGAGCGGAGGCTGGGGTCTAGTGAGAGGGATGCAGAGGATGTGAAGAAACAGCCTTTCTTCAGGGTGAGGATTCCCCTCAAGGGCCTGGCCATCTCCCCCTAAGACCTCGTTGCATCACCTGCAACATTGTCACCCACTTTTCTTCTCTCTCTTGCACCCGCACTGACCCTTCTACACTTACATCTACTCCAGGCTGACCTGATGGGGACCACTGCCCTGCGTATGAGCCCAAGCTCGCTGCCCCCCCCCAGACCACCAGGGTTCCCCCACGCTCACCTTGTGATGCTTCCTGCGCTCCCGTTCCCTTCACTTTGCCCCTCTATCTTGTGACTAATTAGGCTGATCCCCACAGACCCAGGGCTGGATGGGGCGCAGGGGTCTAGCCCCTCCTGTGGTCTGTGCTCCAGCCCCCCACACTGATCTTACTCCCTTTCTCCATGCAGACCCTGGGCTGGGATGCCCTGCTGGCCCGTCGGCTGCCACCGCCCTTCGTGCCCACACTGTCGGGCCGTACTGATGTCAGCAATTTCGACGAAGAGTTCACCGGGGAGGCCCCCACGCTGAGCCCCCCTCGCGATGCGCGGCCTCTCAGTGCCACGGAGCAGGCGGCCTTCCGGGATTTCGACTTCGTGGCCAGGGGCTGCTAGCCCTCTCTCCGGCCCCTCCCCTGACCCAGCTGTTAGTTTTTTAAAAGGCCTTTGGGGTTTGACCCCTCCATGCATCCCCGGCTCTTCTTGTGTGCATTAATGGGGGTGGGAGGTGTGTGATTGGAGGTGGAGAGTGGAGGGGGGCATAGGGAGTGATGGGGAGACGCCCTGGGTTATAGTGAGGGTTATCTGAAGGGGATCAAGGGAGGGTGGGGACTCGGGGCTGTAACTATGGTGAGGAGCAGGGACAGGGCCACGATGGGAGGGGCTTCGGGACTATTCGGGGATGTCGGCAATTGGAGACTGTGATGGGGCGTGGTTTGGGGTTATGGCCTCAGAACTGTGATGGGGAAACTCAGGGCCATAATGGGCGAATGGCGCCAGGAGTCAGTCGGGTCCCAGGGCTGTCGTCGCGTTATGCGCATGCTCCTGCTGCTCCGGCTCCTCCTCGGGCGTCCTTGCTCCCCCACGTGGCAAGTCACAGACCTGCACCCCAGGGGAGCGCACTGTTCCTCTGCCACCCCCACGCGGTCACAGGGTGCTGCAGCACCGACACGACACACCGCCCTGGGCATGTCCAGGAAATGGCTTTATTCCCCGAAAGCTCCGCGCTGCGGACCTGGGCCCTGCCCGGGGCGGACCGGCTTAGCTGCTGTGCCTCCAGGCGCGCCTAGAAGTGGCTGAGTCCACTGTACCGGGAGCTGCGCAGCGAGCTAGCCTCCCAGGCGCTCCTGGTTAGTTCCAGCCCCGCAGGACTGCCCTTGGCGCCGGCCCTCTGCGGCAGGAGGCGAAGTAGTTGGCGAAGCACGGCCTGGCGCAGCAGGATGTACACCCAGGGATCCATGATCTGGTTCCACGAGGCGAGGCGCACGGCCATAAACAGCGGCCGCTGCAGGGAGCTGGAGCCCCAGCCCCCGACGGCCAACACCACCAACACCTATGGGAGAAGAAGAAGTGTGAGGGTTAGGGTAGGTGTAAGAGAAGGGAACCAGCGAAATGTGGGGCTAGGATGGATGAGAGCATGGCTGGAAGGTAAGGGGGCTGTGAAGAGAGGCAGCGTGTCACAGAGGGATAAATGAGTGTCTCCCTGTAAAGGAGGTTTGGAAAGACAAGCAAAGAAGCAGGGCCTTGGCGCAGCATAAGCAAAGGCCTTAAATGGGTGGGAGCTCAGTCTGGAAAGAAGTTCCAGGTGTTCTGGAGAACAAAGGGCTGAAGGGGAGAAGAAAAACGGGGTGGGGAAGTGAAAAGGGTCTAGAGAATGAAGCTTCCGGGCCTAGAGGAGTGGGGCTGGGGGGAAGGCTTGTGTGCGTTGGGGTGAACTACAAAGACCCCAGGAAGGAGATTAGGGGGAGAAGGGGTGGGATGTCAGAGGGAGAAGGCAAAGGGTGGGCTTTCCTGACCTGTGAAGCCTCAAGGGGCGGGACCCTGGCTGGGGAAGGGAGAGAGGACCCAGGTATCTTCAGATGGAGGAAGTATGGGTGGAGGGGTGGGTGCGCCCCTCACCAGCAGCGGGCTCCAGCAGATGCACGACACCACCATGATGCCTACGAGTTGGCCCACCATCTCCACGTCGTGAGCACGGGCTCTGTGCGCTGAGCCGCAACCCAGGCCTGCAGAGGCCGAAGCGACGGACGAGACAGACGAAGCGGAGGCTGAACGGCGTCCGCGTGCCCCCCAGCGCCGGCGGCTGTCGGAACCAGAAGTCGGGGGGCGCTTTCGAGAGTGGCGGCGCCAGCGCGCACGCAGCAGGGCCAGGCCACTGAGCATGTTGCACACGAGTG